TACAATGGATCTTAAGAAAACAGAAGAACAAATTCTAAAGCAGGTAACTTAAGTAGTTAAATCAAATTACACCCCATTCAGGTAGTGCATTAACGTCTTACTGCAGAAGCAAAGACAGATTTGTCAAAACAACCAGTAAACACAAGCCTCAGCTACAAAAATACTCCCCCAAAGAAATTTAATTATGTATAATTAATATATGTATTTCACTTTTCTATTTAATACAGTAGCTACCAAGATGCCAAAGCTCACAGAAATAACATCAGGTAATCTTACCTGCCATGTCTTAGCATACTAATAAAAGTATCAAATATTAAGAAAAGGTAACTTCATATGGACTGTATAAAATGGTATTATACTGTAGCTTTAATAAGAAGTATACAAAGTGCTTCCTATTTTGTTACTTATCCATTGAAAACTATAAAGCAATTTGTGCATGTAAAACAGTTTCCCATAAAGACCAGAAAGTTCAAAGTATCTCAGTAAATATTCAATTTCTTCAATAATTTTTCTGTACCAGATAGAATTTGCTATTCAAAATTATAATGGTTAAGTTATTTGAATTAACTGCTGATTTCACAGTTATGATGAAATCTGCACCCATTTAATGTTTCTCTACATGTTTAGTATATGTAATAACTTTAAAAAATCTCCCACCCAACAGATACCTATAGTATACTAGAGCCTGCCACAGGACTGTTATACTGTATGACAAGAGATAAATCAGGGTTAATTTATCAATATACAATCCCCAAATTAGCACTGTTTTAATTATGGGCTACACTAACACCTACTACAAAGAGCAGGCTGAAGCACGCCAACTACCTCACTGTGATCAAGTACAGAAGTACTTGGCCACAAATGACTGATACAGGATGATGAATCTGTAAACATTTCTTGACTACTACATTGTGTAGCTTTTAAGTGAACAGATATAATAATATACTTTTACAGACCACTGCCTCATATTAAAATATGGATGGAAACATTCATACTATCCCAAAGCATCTCAGTATGAACTCATATTTATACCTATCAGCATGATACGCTTCAACTAAAAGAGAGGTATGCAATATATTTCATGCTGTGGGCTGCAGGTAGCCTTTGAGAGGAATGCAGTGGCCTGAAATCTGAAACATCATAAAGCCAGGAGAAAAAGTAAAATGTCATTTTAAGTTAGTTCATATTTAATTAAATACAGTTAATTATTCTTTTCTACTTCCTTAATAATACTCCAATCATACTGAAATTGTAATTCTAAGCTTAGAGATTGTACACATCTATGCCAAAAGAAGGAAAATTATTTTGGTTGTACAAGTAAGCATTCTGATAAATTACTCTTTTCTGTACCTTGTGGTAGCAAAGATACATTTCAAAATATACACACAAATGCTTCAAAGAAAGTTGATGATTTCCAACTAGTCAAGGTATGTGTCTGTAACATAGGTTCCTGGAACTGACTCATAATAAGAAATAGAGTAAAACCCAACAGGGAAAATCAGGTGTTACCCAAATACATGCTCCCACATCAGATCAACTGCTGCTTCCCTTATTAATCTTCTGTGTATAATCAGCAGCAACATGTAAGAGGTTTCTCTGCAGAAATGCTCTGCATATGGAAGGCTCTTCTGCAAAAAATTAAGCTTTTTTCTCTTCACTGATGTTCTACCAGAAAATGAAGGTAAAGAAGTGTTTGCTATTGCTTACCTATTAAATGTGTTCATTTTTGCTTTTATTTTGCATGTAGTATGCCATTATGTTTAATAAGTTTTTAAAGTAATTTCTTGTATCAGAACAAAAGGTGCGATTTTTTAAAAATTAGTATCGCCATCTGCAATTTTTAGGTTTTCTAGTTGATTGGTGTAATTGGTCTTCATACTTTTTAAGGCACACAGTATTCCGGATCTATAAATAGTTTCTGATATATATTTATATCTTTTAAAAATAGAATACTTACAATTCTTTGCAAATATGTCATATTTGCCAAAAATTAAAGAATTATGAAACTACTTATGCATATCTTCTCAAATATCTGTCCCGTATGTCATGCTGCAAAATGCTTTTGATACTATACACACAGCAAACTCTGCTAGTCAAAGTACATTTCTTATTCCAATTCTTAAGCATACTTAAACTAATGTTATACTTTTGGCTGCAGCAAAAATTTATGAAACTTAATTATGTAATAGACACAAAAATATTATGAAAGGACTGTTTTGAAATGTTAAAATTATTGGAGGTTAGCTAGCCTTATTCTTTCATTAAAGTATAAAAAAAGAATTTTACATATTTTGTTACTTCCTCTAATAAACTCATAACAAATACTTCTGGCAATTATTTAACATTTCATAATTATTTCTGGCAAGGTACTAGTGGCTAATATCCAAGCTCTGTAGTCTTGAAGGCACAGTTCAGTATATGAGAACAAATATTTCTTCTCTTACAAAACCACAGAATACTGACAAATGTTTGTTTTTTTAATACATTAAGTGTTTATATAGTCACACATCTTTTAAGAACATCAGTCACTTGCACAAAATCAAAGGACATATATAATCTTAACATAGTAGTCCTGATATCTATTTGCCAATTTTTTAAAGAGGAATTAATAATTCCTCAATACAATTTTTTTTACAATATAGCACATGAATCCAAGCTGCTACAGGTCAAATCCCATGCCCACTCTCATCCCAGAAACCAAATTTTGTATACTCTATATTATTGTCTTGGCAGCCAAACATACTGATACTTTGCAGACTGTCCAGAATGTAAATTAGACATAGAAATGGCATACACAATTTCCTTTGAAAACACCCTTCTTATCCTAATCACATTCTTGGCATGCACCACATGTTTCGGACTTAGAATCTGCCAAAGACCATTGTAATAACTATAGACCTTGGACTGCTGTTAAGCTCTAAGCACCAACTGTCTTCCAGTCCTGATGTGGATCAGACACAAGGCTGTCCCATTGATTGGAAAAAGGAGAATGAAGCCAGGAATATCTAACCAGCCATAATATTAACCCAGTGGTAATGTGGGGGTGGGGGTCCTTTGTAAAGACCACTCCCCCAAGTTAACTATGGTCAAGCAAACTTAATAGTATTAATGCTCAATAAGCATATCAAAAAGATAAGAGCATACAGATGACTTGTTACCATTCTCATTTTGATCACAAGACACAGCTGTTCTCAGTCTAGTGTCATTCAGATATACTGGGACTACAATTCCCAGCATTTCCAACCAGCAACACCATCATACACATAAAGAACACCAGACTGGAGAAGAATGCAACCCTACTAGATAAATCCTTACAAAGCCTTTCCAAAAAAGATTTGTGTACACTATTAGATGTCCCTGGGCAACCTCAACTTATATTCAATTTCACATGGTCCCTGAAAGCATATTAAAAATTCATCTGCATACTCTACAGGAACCGTAATTTCATCCCTACACACTAACCGCTTGGAAATCCTAGTGACAGCTAGGGATATTGTTCCCCAAAATCACTAGTGAGAAACAAAATTTTAACACAAAAGACAAACTCCTGAACCTATAAAAATGCACCTATGACTTACCAGCAAGTTTTCTAACCATTCTTATGAATCACGTATGTATTTTCAAGATTAGTATGAAAAACTGTAAAAATGAACAATGGATAATTTCACCACTTACATAGTAAAATCATTTAAATAGTATTTCTATAATCTGGAAATTATAGGAATATATTAATGTAACACTGTCCTATTAATACTAAAATGGTCTGGTGTGTAATTAGTTTCAATTTTTAGGCATGGAAAACCAAGCAATTACAGTTCATTAAAAAAAAGCTGATGTGCAGCTTGAATACCTAGATTCATATTCAATATTTAGTCAGTGGCTCTTAGCAGGGACAAATACACAGCTTTCTGACATCCAGCACCAATAAATAAAAAACTGACAAATGCAAAGAAAATGTGGTTTGGGTTCCTTTGTCATTCATACAGGTAAGTTCTTGCTACAGATGATACCTAAGTTTGGACAATACATTTAACTGACCCAACTCCTTTTCTGTGTATGGACAGAATTACTGCCTTAACAGGAGGTTCATTTGTTTGTTTAAACTGTTCAAAGTTTGAAAAGCAAAATTCCCCATAAAACAATCTGATATATCATATACATCATCCTCATTTTTATTATCATAATTTTGCAGTGATAAAGCACACAAAGACTTATGCTCATAAAGATGTGCCTATATGGCTGATACCAATTTTAATGCATACCTAGAGTTTTAAGAATTATTACCTTAGAATTATTTAGCAACATTTCAGATTTCATGTCAAGCCTACAATACTTGATGTGGCTCTGTAAAAAATATTTTCCATTAAGTACACCGGAGAGAAATCAGTCTACTATATAAAGCAATATATTGTCAGTGTCACCGGGACACTGATAACAAAGGCAGGACTGCTTTCTAGTCAGCAGAATCAAGAGATGCTGTCCTAGAAAGCAAACTGCTCCTATTTCAGATCTGTTAAGAACTGCAGCTAAAAGGCAAATCCTATTGTTCTAGCTTTGAATAAAGAACTGGCCACCTCATTCAGGTTAAAGAGAATGATGGAGAACAAAATGGAGTTTTGTTATCCAGGAATTGGGGATGTTCATCCTGTGCAGTACTGCAAAGCTTGCGGAAATGATCCTACACGAACCTAGGGTTTAAAAAAAAAAAGGCTACTTTTAAAGCTAACTTCCCTCAGAGCCGGCACAACCTCTCCTTTCTCAAACTAAAATGGGAACTCGGGCCCTTTCAAGAGGCAAACCGGGGGTGTCAGACTCCAGGCCCGGGATGCTGGAACCCTTCCTTCTTACAAAGATCATAGGCCCCGTTGTGAGAAAGCAGGGCAGAGTCAGGACGCGGAGCTCCAGGAAGGAAGGAAAGGAAGGGAGGGGAAGAAGAATGGGCGCCAAGGACGCCAAACGCTGCCGCTTCGAGGGGGAGGCTTCTCCCCGGCCTTTCTGACCTGTCCCTGGGGTCGATCCACGAAGTCTGCCGGGTGTTGTGGTCGATGTAGAAGACGCGCCCGTCGTAATCCCTCGCCTCCTCCCAACCAGCGGGCAAAGGCAATTCCGAG